AGTATGCTGCCACTCGGAAACTTCATGACTAATGGTGGTGGAATTATATTGATGGACTTGACTTGAAACTAAATGACCAATGAATTTTTTTTTTTCTTTTTTGCCAGACACCAATGAAAATTTTTCCTCAAAAGCATATTAATCCTGAAGTCTGAACATTTGTGCAAGTTGAGATTTCTTCCATTTCTTCACGCACCGGCAGAGCATTCAACTATGGGGAAGACGATGTGCATAAAATTATGTGATGGGCTAACAAGTGTTCTTGAAGGACTACTCATTGCAATGGCCATAGTTCTCATTCTTCTGATGATCTGTGTCCTTCCACCAAGGCGAAATCTTTTGGCTCTGCGTCGCTTCCCTTAGCAATGATCTTTGATCACTTTTTACCACTTGGGTTTTTCTGGGATTTTAAGATGTAAGAAACTAAGAATCTTTGCTTGCTCAAACCTCTGCTTGTGTCGTTAGTTATTCTCAACTCTGTTGCTGATAAACATTTTATTATGAGTTACTTTTTCGGTCATGCTTTGTTCTGTTTTTGTTTGTTGCCAACAATCATGCTTTGCTCTTTTTTGCTTTCCCTGTTCATACAGTAAAAAAAGGGGCTGCTTCTAGAGCCTAAATGAAAGTAGGGTTAAAAGTGCTGTTGGGAAATAATTTTACTTTGGTTCCTACTGCGTGAAGCCTGAACTAGCCTCGTAGAGCAGTAGCCTTTCACGCATTTTGGTGCAAGCTAGATTGTAAACTTTTTAGATTCCAAAGGCTTCCTTGATGATTTGCTGCTGATTTCTTCCCAACCCAAACTGTTAACTGGTTGACGACCTAAATCAACCTTATGCTTCTCAAATCTGCAATAGCAGTAGTGATGATTTAAATTTCAGCTCTTGCGTACAGACTTGTTCTGATAATCCATCTTAACATCAGTTTATACTTTCGCTTAACGTGAGCTTGGTAATTAAAACTAGTTATGGCATAAGCTTCGATACACATATGACACTGTTGAAACTGATTATTTTATTGTCGAGTGAAAATTGTGATAATTTCAGTATAACGTGATACTTCGCAATCAATATGCCATAATACATAGTACTCCTCCGGTCCTTAATATAGGACCTAATTCTTGAGTTGGTTTTGGTCCTAAATATAAGATCCATTTCTCATATTTATTAATTTTCTCTAAATTACCCTTATAGACACTCCCTCAACTATAATTAAGTAGAAGAGGGAGGGGGGGTATTAAGAAAAATGATTATGGTGTTTTAGGAAAAATGTGTCACTTTTCTTATAATTAACTAACTTACCTAACTTCCTTAATCTAATCAAATTAGTTAAAAGGGTCTTATATTAAGGACCAGAGGAGTATCTTACAATGTTTGAAGAGCGCATGGCTCTCGTAATAACTGCTCCAATATTGGATCCACATATTTAATATATGTGCCCGGTTTTAGCAGAAAGAATAAAAGTAACGGGACGATGAAAAACAAGGACTAAAGACAGTTTCTGAAATGGACACACTTTTCACTTGAATAGATTAAGATTTATGTTCAGCTGTGTCTCTAGGTTTTTTTTTTGGTAAAATAATTTTAGACAGGGGTTTGGGCTCAAACTTAAGTCAAAGGTCAAGCGCTTGAATGACTTCTTCTACGTGATACCAATGTTAGGCATAGTAAAGTTACGTTATATTTTTAGGTGTTAACCTAAATACCCTCATTCTAGGATAGGGAATCAAATCCCCTCTTTTTTGGGTGAGAGGGTGTTATTCATACTGTTGAACTCGATAGCTGGGTCTCTAGTTGAACCCCTGAATGGTCTATCGATAAAGTTGGTCCATTCTGTTCTGTACTCAGTTACAGGCTAATCTAAGTATCGGCGGACTCATCTTTTCTTGGAGCTTCTGCTCCTTTTTTTTTTTTAAAAAAAAAACCCTTCCCTCTCAGGCAAAGTCAACTGAGCCCAAAGATTATAGGCCGAGGATTTGCTTAAACTTTAAATGAGCAAGGCCCAATAAGAATGGGCTGGGCCTATTTTCACAATTACTGTTCTCAAATTGAACAAAGCTTGGCCCACCATATGTGGTTCACCACAGCCAGAAAACGTTACTCTAATTTACCCACCGATCGATGCTGGCAATAAAAAGAAAAATTTACCCACCCATAGATGAATTTAGAAGAAATGTTATATAGAAGTTACTCGTTTAGTATATCCAAAAATTATTATTTTTTCAAAACTATCCCTTTTAAATTCAAATGCGCTTTAGATTTTCAAGAAGCTACACATTTCCTTACAACGGTGAGCTGAAGAGAAAATTCAATGTGAAAATTGTATTCTAGTGCGTGAAAATTGTATTCTAGTGCGTGAAAACTTGAAGAAAAAGACACTTACGTATATACACTAAAGTAAGATGAAAGAAATAAAGCAAGGTTGATAACAAATTTGGAAGTACGGTCTGATGGAAGCGGAGGCAGGGCATTGAGTGGGGATGGTTCATTGAATTAAATGATGTCCGTACGATGTGGCTTCAATGCGAATCAACTCCCCACCTTTCTCATTCAACAACGTTTCTCCTTCAGCCTCAGCATCCGCCATTGTTATTTGAACCCCCTTCTCCTTTCTCTCCTCCTCATATACTCCTTCTTCTCTCCTTCTCCTTCATCTTCAACGACATGGTGAGCCAGAACAAGCCCACCCCCTTAGACGGCGTCGATGGCAAGCTGGTGGACAGCCCTGCTCCAAACAGGCTCAGAGCTTGCCATTTGTTGCTCCGATTCCTCGCCGTCGCACTCACTCTCATCGCTACCTTCATCGTCGGCGTCGACAAAGAGACCAAGACCATTACCTTTTTCGCCGGCTTGCGCTTGCAAGCCACTGCTCACTGGAAATACATGTCTGCTTTCGTGTAAGTTCTAGGTTTCTCCAAATGACTCATTTCTCATCAACCAAAGCATTGTTGCTTTGTAAGTTTGCTTTAGTATAAGCTTCCGCGCTATATATATTTATGTGTTACCGGATCAGGTATTTTCTGGTGTCGAATGCCATAGCATGCTCCTACGGGGCAGCTTCTCTGGTGATAACAGAGGTGGCGGCGAGAAGAAGCAACAATGGCAACAACTTGAACTGAAGTTGGTGGTGACGATGTGCGACCTGGTGATAATGGCTCTGCTGTTTTCGGCCGACGGAGCGGCGGCCGCAGTAGGAGTGATCGGACAGAAAGGGAACGCGCACGTGCATTGGATGGAGGTATGTGATGAGTTCAGCGCGTATTGCCGGCACATGACCACCGCCGTAGTTATCTCTCTCGTCGGCTCAACGGCGTTTCTCGGCCTGGTGGCTCTCTCTGCTTTCAGACTCAACTAATACATGGAACATCCCCCTTGAAGCCCACTCTGTGTTTCTCTTTCAGGCCACCGGAACTCTCTCCCCGTCTTTGAAGATGATGCCATATCGTTGTTAAGCGCTTAGTTAATGTAATGCTTTTGCTCTGTAGTAAATTCTCAGACCAGTTGGTGGATAGGTCTATTTAATTAGGTGCCGTAGCACTGCGTAATGTTGAATATATATAAAAGCTAGGTCTCTTTAGTTTAATTGATTCTGAATGTCCTCTATGGTTGATGATCCATGAATTGTCATACTTCACGTTCCGTTTTAGGTCAGTGTAGTAAAATCCTAATTACCAGCAAAGCAGAAGGGTTGTTCACTTGTTCAATGATATAAAATATACATAAAGATGGCGTCATGCGTGACCTTCTTTTTTTTTTTTGGTTTTCTGTCTGGAGTAAATGAAAGACGGGAAATCTAGGGTGGCCCTGTCAAGAATCCAACCGAGATAGGTTGCTGGAATAATGAGTCTATTCTGAGCCCTTATATTAATTATAGTACAATGAAAGGAACAATGTGGGAACTAGACTGGGGGACAAGTGGATAACTACTGATTACTGAACAGGTCATTTCCTACATCCTAGCGTTTACACTCAGCCATCTTGACCCCTCGCCAAGGGCCGCCTCCTCAAAGAGTCTTTGGATGTAGTGGTTACTCTCATGGGGCCCAAACCAATCAGTCAACTATCATGATTCCCCTCTGCCCCTTTCTTATTCCAGATTTATGGGTCTAACTGCTTGGTCTCACAGCAGCTCTAGAGATATCCCGTCTAGAATGTTCGTTTTGGCAGAAATCCTAAGACTCCAGACATGAGACAGTGAAACCAGCCAATGCTAGTAAATTTCTAAACGAAATGATCTTGTGAAAAGAAGGCCCTTTTCACTGTAACATAAAGATGAATCAACAAGGAACGAAGAGGTGGAACTCAAATCAAGTGCAAACCTGCTCCTATCGTTTCTTCTAGCTCTAGCAGAGGAGCAACATGGGATTCCAAGGGTTTGATTGTTCAGCCACATGCTAACATGGTTGAAAAACAATTATGTTTAATCATAGTGTCGTATATTAGGTGTTTAACTGCAGACGTGCTCGTTATCTATAGCATTTTCTGGTCATGTCCGAAGTCACGTATCAACATTATAGTTTCAAGATGTATGGTAGAAGTAGTGGGTTCGAGCCATAAATCGTTCCTTTGCATATTAGAACCATGAATATATATATATATATATATTCTTGCCGCCTAGTTCAACAGAGGTAAAACCATGTCGGAGAGATGATACGTAACGCAAGCACGCGAGTGAGGTTGAGCTGACAAGAAAGGGAAAGGAAAACCTCTGTTTTTGCCTTAAAACGGAACCAAATAGGTTGAAAAGGCTTCTTTCCGCTCTGAATCTCCAACCCAAAGGGGCTGTTGTCTTATTAGCCCATACAGGCGAGTGACCTACTTATCAAAGCAGCATTCCAGAAGAGGATCTGGGGCTAGCAGATACAGTAATCGAAAGCATTTCTTTTATCTAACTCCCTTGACTGGTCTATATTTTAACTCGAAGGCAACAAAAGGGTTAGATTATGACGATGGAAAAAAGAGAAAGTTAGACTATGACAAGATGCAGCCAGATTATGAATCGTTTCCTGAAAATTAGGGGGGGAAAACTGAGCTTTAGCTCCACATAATATCATTACATGGGGACACTGTACTGTAACTCTATGCATTTGCTAGCATAGCTACATGTATTATCTAAGCTTTAGCTCAAAGGATAATTATTCGACGCAACGTCATATACAAGTACACTATATACAAAATAGCTCGTAGAAATAAATGACAACCACCTTGTATCAGTGTTGCAGTTCTGACGTTATACCACAACTTCAGTGTTCTATCTTAGCAAAACGACCCTTGATTCTTGTCCTGCTTTCTGCCCGAACTTTTCGTGATTCATACCTTATGTGCCTGTCATATCTGTTATTTTTTTCACACAAAGGGTGTCAGCTTGACAAGTCAAATGATAATTTTTTTTTCTAGCATTAGAACATTTAAGCCCGGATTTATGCATATCAAAAGCAATGGATTCCCCTATACCTTCTTGTTCTCTTCTTCTCCTTGTAACGTAATAAGGCAGAGTCTCTTTCTTGACTTGTCAGCTCATACGAAGCAACTTTTGGGGTCGTCGATGAGTTTTCAGAGTTAAAAGAGTTCAGTTGTCCTCCACTGCTAAGATAGGTATGATTCCCACAGACAGTGGAAACTGAATGGAAGTCAAGAGCTTCTTCTTTATACAACGATGTATTAGGAGGAACAACTTGATTTGCAGTCTCACTATCTCTATGCCCCTCTAAAACATTTGTCTGCATATGTATTATTCTTTAGCAGAAATGTCATACCCACAATTAAGAAAGCAGCAACCAGTAGTTCAAAATCTGACATAAGCTAAACAATAACAATCCAAGGTTAACTGGGACAAAAACTACGACAGAGTAGGACATGTCAAAGCAGAATCTCAAGCATGCTTCAGTAGTGTTCTAATATTGAATGAGAAGTCAGAAATCAATTTCTCACCAATTACACATATAACAGAAATGGTAAGAACAGCACAACAACAAAAAAAACAGATGCAAATGCAACCAAAAGATAGAGTTCCAAGACAAGCGTTGCACAGATACATGTGTAAACCCATTATAATGATAAATGCCAACATAATAGAAGCTTTACCTCGTACGAAGGAAAAATATCAGCCTCGAATTCATGTTCAAAACCTGTGGACAAGCTTGCCGACTTTAAATACTGTTCAGGGACTATGGGGTGCCTGGAGCTCACTCGTTCAGTATCTACATCTCCAAATTCAAGCTGGGCTCCGATTTTGCTAGCTCACGAAGCTGACTAATGATTTCTTCCTTGTGTTGCCCACAAGCAGCCTTACGGTTCTGATTCAACAAGAAGAACCTGAACAAGTCAAAATTCTGATAATACATGGACTTCCAATGTTTTTCAAGCATAAACTATTGATATACCTTAGGCAGAGGAGGAACCTCCATGGCCTGATAATTGTGAGACGAGCTTGTAGAACTTATCAAATCGTCAAGGCTAACAACAGCAGGAGCATCCCACACGAACAAGTCCGAAAGGCCCTCCTCAAGCTCAGATCCCACAAATCCATCGCCACTACCGACGTCACACACTCCACTATCCTCAGTCGAAAACAGGGCTTTCTTGCCCAAATCTTCAAAACCCAGAATCGATAGCAACTCACTCACGGAAGGACACCCAGTGAAGCCCTCGAGTGGCCTCCTATCGTGCACCAAAGACAACGAAAGGTTGTGCCGTTCCCAATCACAATTCTGGCAGAAAACGGAGCTTTCGGTAGAACAGAGTATTGTGGCCGGCGAATCGTTGCAGGCATCACAGAGCAGAGCTCGAGTGTGCTTCGAGAAGAGTTGGTTGGTAGAGTGAACTTCACGATCACAAGAGAAACAGAGCTTCGCAGAATCAGCTCGACAATAGAGAATACCAGTGGAGTCGCCACAGTAGTCGCATGGCCTTTGAGCTTTTGGCGCCCGATCTTTATCCGGCAGATTGGGGTGCTTCGGAGAATCACCCATATTTCCCGATGTTCGGAAAATGAGAAAGGCTTCAGATTTCTGAAGAGTAAAAGGGTGGGGAAATATGGCTTTAAAACAGCGCTAAGGAGAAATTTGGGATAAAAGCGAATGAATGCGCAAGAGAGGTTATCCTTTCTTGCTGATCAAGAACTAGGTTTGAAAACGATACTTCAATCTTGTTTTTTCCTACACTGCTAAAAATCATTTTAACACCAAGTTGGATACCATCAAATTCCAGTTTCACACTGCTAAATTGAGCTTTATTACACGAAGACTAGGAAAGATTCTTTTTTTTTTTTTGGCTGCTTACTATTGCATAGCGTCATCACTTGCTCACCATTCAGGCACCCGCCAATCAATATCCACTCACTTTTCACTTTTGAATTTTATATTGGTTTGGTTGTAAGTCAAAGCATTATTAGGAATTAAAAATTAAAAAATATTTATTTTTGGTCTTTGCCTGGTGATCTTAAATTATAAAAAATTGCTCATTTCCATTCAAGGAACTTTATCTTTTCGAGAAAGAGCTCACGCTTTCCCCAAAAATTGAGGAGCCAAAAATAAGGAACCAGTTGTGAGTTGGGACAGGAATATTCTCCCTTTGACCTTATCAGCAGGATATGCTTAGTGGCTTTAAAATAAGGAAAAGTGATAAGAAAAGATATTACATAAATTTGTGTCTTTTTACTAAAATAAAAAAAATAATAAAAATAAATTTTATGAAGAATTAAAAATAAAATATTACGATTTTTTCCAGCATCACTTCCTTTTTATTTAATAAAAATAAATTAAGAATGTAAAAGTAAATAAATTTTACATAACCAAATAAATTTTCTCTGGTCATACCGTTGCATTGACTATCTTTCCCGTTGCAATTTACCATACCAACAAATGATAAAAATTAAAACTTGCAATGTTATATTCTCATAAAAGGTTTTCAATCATGCTTAGTTTATATTAAATATTAAATATAAAATAAATATATTATTATATATTATTACCAAAAAAATTTCAGCTTTGGTTTAGTTATCTTTTCCCATCTGTCAAAAACAATATTATTATAAAAATAACGTAATATGTATCTTCATAATTTAAGAGTCACCCCAAGAATTTTTTGTAGAATGAAAGGGAGCTTCTTTGGGCAAAATTGAAGAAAAAAAGGGAACTCCAGTAATAATGGGTCAAAAAGACAAAAAGATAAAAGATAAAAGGGATTTTTTTTTAATATACACACGCCCCCCTAAATGTGTGGGTGGTAGTTTTAGAAGACACTAACAGTAACCTTCCCCCCCCCCCCCCAAAAAAAATTTACAGTCTTCATAAAAATGTTTTAGCTGTTGAAGTACATAATCATTATTTTTATAATTTAGTAAGCCCTAATATAAATTATAAATACTACATATCCCTCATTTTTGTTGCCCCTTCTAGATAGAAGGATGAATAAGCAGGAAAAGTAGAGGGGACGAGGATTTCATTATCAAAGGGCCAAATGGGATATTTATGGGGGTGGGGGCAACCAGACCTGTCTGCTGAATTCGCTGGAAACTCTGCATCATCCATCAGAAAGGCGTCCGTCCAAAAAGGGAGTCATCAATCAGATTTTGTGATCTTTCTTGATCTCACCTCTTTACTTAATCATTATCTCTTCCTCCAACCCTTTTTTGTCTTCAAAATTCAAAAGTCTTGCCAGGCCCCTCTCATCTCTCTTCACCTCCCCACTGTGACTTTGGATGTTGCTGTCAAACAAAACCGTGACAAATTTTTAACTCTGACTTCTTACCCATTCTAGCATCCACTCCCAAGATTCCTGTGAAGATAAGGCTGGTTGCTCTTTCATTTATTTCATCTCTCATCATGCTTTCATTTCATCTCCATAAATACATAATAATGACCTTCTTCCAACAATTCACTATCCCACAGAATCTAAAGACTCAAACTTTCCATAGTTCTCTCGTCATCATTTGACCTTCGCCAGGCATTTCTGCAATTCTACTGCTGATTTCTGATGAGTGGGCTGTTCAG